ACAGATAACAGAATGTAGAATACAGAATACAGATAACAGAATAACAGCAGGCTTGTTAAGCACTAAGCTGGAAGTAACATAACTGACAACATGATACCACTCTGTATAAGGGAGGGCAAATCCCCTGCCAGTCTTTCCTGAAACGTCACAGAAGTGAGCAGATTGCCTAATGAAAATAATGTGGCAGTTAAGAGTTTGGGAATAGGAGTTGGATGTGACTGGGTTCAAATCCCCCTTTTCTGTGATTTTAGGCAAATGCTCTGTGATTTTAGGCAAAAATGACTTCACTCACCGAGCCTCAGCCTCCTCCCCATATAAGACTAATGATGGCTAATACTTATTGAGGGCTTGGTATATACTGGCTATTTCTGCTCTAAGTGCTGTATGTGTGATGGATAATTTAATCCTCAAAGCAATCCTGGCATTTTAACCTTTTTATAGTTAAGGAACGAGTCATAGAAGAGCCCAGTAATCCATCTAAGCATAAGCAGCCAGGAAGTGGGAGAGTTGAGACTTGAACTTCAGAGTTCATGCTCAACCTCTGCGCCAAATCGTCAGGTGGGGAAGATAATACTTTCTTCCCTGGAGGTTTGCTTGGGAGGATTGAAATGCTAGAATAGAGAACAGGGCTTGATATAGAGGTGTGCTCAATCAACAATGGCTATTATTGCTGCTCAAAAAGAAATTACCTATTTGGAAAACAGTTAACCCAGAACTATTCATGAAGCCTTTTGCTCATTTATTAAGATTGATCACTCCCACTTCCAGGAGCTCCGGTGCTCCCTGGTGCTCTATCACACCTTGTCTAAGGAGAGGAAGAGAATTTGGATCTGAGCCTTAAGGATAAACAGCTTGCTGAGCAGACAGAGGGTCAATGGGTGTGGGGGAGGATGCGCCAGGCAGAGTGAGCAAAACTAGTGACAGCCTAGAGGGGCAAAAGTGTGTGTGTTTGCATATAGAGCCAGTTAGCTGCTGTTCGGTTTCACTCAGATGCTTGTTGCTATGGGAACTTCCCTGCACCTCATCCTCCTTCAGCCCCTTCGAAAACCGGACCTCAGGCGCCACCTGGTGGCGGCCTCTGATACTACTAGGGCAGAGACAGCTAGCTCTAGTAAACACAAGCTGCCCATACCCCTCTACCCTGAACTGTTGTTTCTTCCTGTTTCTTTCCCCGGAAATGGACTTGCTGTAAAAGTGATAGAACAACAATCAAGGAACTTTTTTAAAATTTAAAGATTACATTTTTCCAGTTATCAAAATAATGCATACTCATTATAGAAAATTTGGAAAATACAGAAAAGAACAAAGATGAAAAAAAGTTACTCAATTCCATCGCCCAGAATAACTACTATTAATATATTGGCATATCTGAGTCCAGTGTTCTTTTCTGCATGTAATTTTCACATAGCTGAGGGTTAGTGTGTATATATATTTATGTATATGCGTATATACGGACTCAATTATGTCCAAGTGTATGTTGCATATTTTTGTGAACAAAGCCTTGGTGTGAGGGTTAGTGTGGGTGTTGGGAGCCAGATCTACTCTGAGTTTGAATCCTGTTTTTGCCTTTACTAGCTGTGTGACTTGGGTGAGTGACTTCTCTGAGTAGCAATTTCCTTCGCCACCTGTAAAGTGTGGCTAATAATAGAATTTATCCCAGGGCTGCTGGGCTAATGAAAAGACACGACATATACAAAATGCTTAGTAAAGTGCCTGTAACAGAGAGCTGCCTTACTGATAATAGGTTACCATGTGAGTCTTAGTCTGCCTTTCTGGTTCGCAGCAGAAATCTCTAGAAATGAGATGAATTTCTGGGCTTGAGGACATGAAGAGCCTCCAAGTAGATATTTTGCCAAAATTGAAAGGAAGATTTCACCAATATCTCATGTCTCCAGCACCACAGCTCTTCTCATTTGTCTCTGTAGTCTTCCAGGCTCTGCTTACACAGAACAATTTTTAAGCCTCGTCATTACAATGTTTGTGCCAGTTGCTTAATGTTACATCCTCGCCATCCTAACTGGCTAGAGCAGTTATTGACATTTGCCATCATTTGCTTAACCTTATTGTTGAATATTGGAGCAGTTTAATTTTTCATTCATCCATCCATCCATCCATCCACCCACCCATCCATCCATCCATCCATCCATCCATCCATCCATCCATCCATGAAATAGTTATTGAATACCTACTCTCTCTGCCAGGCACTGAACTGGGCATTGGGAAGTGGTGGTCACCAAGGCCAGTACTCCTCTGGCATTTGCACTCTGGCCAGTGAGACAGACCATTACAAGTAAACAAACAAGTAAAACTCTAACTATAAACTGTGGTGAGTGCCGTGAAGTAAAAGGAGAGAACTACTGGAGACCTACATTTATAGTAAGAGAAGTAGGCA